TAGTAGTAATAGTAGTAGTAGACGTAGTAGTAGTAGTCGTAGTAGTAATAGTAATCGTAGTAGTAGTAACACGGAAAGAAGGATAGAACAGCCTGGAAATAATGATGACGATGGTGGTAGTGGTAATAGTGGAGGAGAAGGAAGAGGAGCAAGGGGGTACGAGCGGACGAGAAAACGCACGCGCGAAGAGAGACAGAGGGGGAAGGAGAGGAGAGAGAGAGAGAGAGGGAGAGAGAGGGAGCACAAGGGGGGATTGGAATGCAGTCGAGTGAGGAATTCCGACCCCTCCCGCATATTTATCTGAACGCTGCTCGCCGGTCTGCGGTGCTCCGCTCGAAGCGAGGGACCCTCGTTTATAGCGTACCAACCAATATGCCGTTCATACCACAGAACAAACGAAAGAGGGGTAAATATCTACGAAGCCAGTGGCAGACCACAGTCCACGGTACGTGCAGATCTATTCGAGATCTATTCAAGAATGTTCACCGTGCTTTATAATCGAATACATTCGCGAGATCTTTTCGAGAGTACGCAACAGACAAGAATTTCTGAGGTTTCTCGTCTAATTTTCGGTTTGCGACAAACGAGTAAGGTGAAAGGAAATGTCACCTTCTGTTCCAGGTATAGACTGCCAATTTCACATTTTGCATATTTCGCAATTTACAATTACTTCGGCGACACGACTGGCTAAAGCTTCGACGATGGTCGATGGAACGAGCACGAACGTCCACGTCCAAAATCTATTGCAACGGATTCACGAGATATTGTAAAATATTCTCCGATCAGGCTGTAGACTAGATCTGCACTCTGGACAGTATTTACGATTGTCTGAAACTTGCAAATACGCGAAACTCTTAACTCGAGAAATAAAATGCAGAAACTATTTTCACGGGTGGATGTTTCTTTAAGACTATACGTAATGTAATGTTGTTGTAAAATCAATAGTTTATGAACCGAATGTCACCGATTATTAAATACGGTAACAGATATGTAGTACACGCGTATTAAGAAAAGAAACGAGCTGCGACCAGGCCGACGATCGAGAAAAGTATTTCGTCGATCGGACAGCTGCCGTTGAACGAGTCGAAGGATAGAAAAGAAGAATTTCTCGTGGCCCACGTGGCTTCCTGGAGGATACGACGATACGAGATACGACAGACAGAGCGTGGAGGTTGTGACTCGGCGGCGGGGAGGGCCGAGGTGACGGTGGGGGTGGGAGTTGGGTGAAGAGTAAGGGTGCGGTAAAAGGAGGGAGTGCTTGCACGGGTAATGCAAAGGATCAACTTCGCACATGGCCAGTTGCAATACTTTAGACTTTCTTTCGACAGATTCTCTCCCCCTTGCTTCTCGAGCCTAGTCTCCTTAACTCTTCCATCGCTGATATTACAATTTCGCAGAAAACAAATAAACTCAAGCGATATCCATACTGGCGGACCGTTGCACAAAATTCTCCAACTAGCCGACGCTCTTATGAAAGATATAGGAAAGAAAACGCGGACACGAATTACGAAAGGTATAAAAAGTTTGAAACATTGCGTAACTCGCGCATACGTATAATATTTGCAATTTTCGCGTGGTAGGCGTAACCTAGGTGTAACAGGGTCGTAATTTCAAAAAATATACAAAATTATCCAAATTCTGCAAAGGTTATATTCAAGCGTTCCAACTATGTACACATTTGTTCTCTCCAGCCGAAAATATAGGGTCTAATAAAAATAAATCGAAGCAAATACGTTTTGTTAAGTTTTCGTTCGAATATCGGTTACAATGTAAAAGTTGCTTCGTGTCTATAATTATGCACACCACCGTATGTATACCATAGCATGTGGCTGCATATGTACGGCGAGCGTGCGCTTGTGTCTGTGCGCGGCAACCGGAATACGAGGATCAAAGATATAAAGGTGCGTTCATATCTGTCGGACGAGTGCGTTGCGATCGAACAGAGTCCGATGAAACGAACAGAACGAGCTTGAACTACGGACACGGACACGGGGAGAGAAGAGCGGATGAAGTCAGGTTGCGGTGGCGAGGCGAGCGAAGCTGATATGAATGGAATGCGATGCCATTATCGCGGTGTACATACCGATAACTCGATGCCCCGTTGCGAGTGAAGGTGTCTGCAGACGAGCAAAAAGCCTTAACTTGCGAGCAATTGCCTCGCACGCTTCTCCCGCGATTCTAGAAATCTTATGGTTTTGGTTTGGTTCGGTTTCATCGGGTTCGATTTGGTACGATTCGGTTCGATACGGTTTCGACCAGGCACGGTAAATTCTCCTCGATTCGCGCTCAAATTGTGCACGAAACTGGACAATTTGGGAAGTGGAGACACGATTGTTCGAGCTCGTTTTTATAGTTACCGATTGTCAACGACTATTAAAAACGAGATGCGTGGTTCGAACAATCGTACCTCCTCTTCCCAAATTGTCCATCAATTAAGAGAGAATTCACAGTATTCGGATCGTGTAAAGATACATTTACGAGTTATTTATTCGATACGAGTGTTAATTGCAGCAAATATTACAATAACGCTCGTTAAAAATCAGAACGGACGTCTTATCGCGTTACCTTTATAAACTAATATAAAACAGGTGCATTTAGTGCTACGTAAATCTAGAGTTAAGTAACATAATCGTTCGCGATCTGGTATGCATTTAAGCCGCATTTGTTCAAGGTTATCGCTATTTATCGAGAGTAATGCATTCCGTAGTAATTTATCTTCTACGCATAGAGGTGCCTGCACGTTATACGCCGACTAAAACAGAAATGGCGAAAACGTTCGCGGCTTTGGCTTTGTTTTCGCGTTATTAACGAATCAAAGTGCGGCAATAACGGCGCGCAAATCGGTACTTCTGCCTTTAATTTACCCCTATCTTTCACTCCGTTCTCCGTGTATGCATTCCGCGCGTGGATCCGACAGACTTTTCGAATCGTAAAACGATACAATTTAAAACCGAAAACTCGAATTTTTTTTACGCCCGTTGTCCGTTACCCGTTATCTGTCACCCGTTGTCTGACATCGAAAATACCCACCTACAGCTATAGTTTCAGCGAGTAATGACATAGGAATTTGAAAAATGTTTACATCGATCTTGATGCTGTTATCTTAATGCGTTCGAACTGATTAGTAACTCGGTATCAGCATTCGATGACGACATAATAATAATAGCAATGTTTACTATGTACGTTGCGCTTAGATCGCGGATTTCACGAGTTTGCGGTTTATGCGATTGTATAAATTATACATTCGGAATAATATTGATTAACGGAGTGCGTATTTTATGGTTAAATAAAAACGTTGCAACTTCGATCACCGTATGCAAGTATAATATAATATATAGCTCTTCGCGTACATGTACGTACACGCGATAATGGTTCGGTTTAATAAACGCGTAACGATTACGAAAGAAATTATTTTAAGCCCGAAAATTCGAAGAGAAGTAGACGAAGTCGGCTCGACGACCGAATTCCAAGGTGCTGCCGGTTCTAGTTCTAGTATCCTCGATTCGGTATCAATTTCAATTTAAATATCCTCGAAAAGTGTTTTACGCGAGACACGACAGAATCCGAGAATAGAATGCTTATTGCACCGATCGCCAACGTACTTCGGACGATTGCTGCGATTTTTCGGAACATCGTAACGGACATCGCGAGCGTACAAGAAAACGTTGGTTAACCGAAACAAAATTAAACGGGGCAAACTGCGAGCGAGTGGTACAGCTTGTTCTCTTTTGAAAATCGAGCACGGCATCGGTCGGTGACAAGCGAATAATGACGATTACGATGACACGTAGAGCATAGAAGATACGAGGCGAGATGCAGATAGGAGACGGGGTAGAAATAGAGAAAAAGCAGAAATGAAAAGGACGAGGCCAAAGGAAGAAGAAAAAGAAGAGCAAAGCATGAAATTCCACCAGTTGTCTAAAAATAGTCTCTTACAAAAGAGAATAATAACTCGGGTATGTATACATCTGGTCGCTGGGTAAAAGCGTCGGCCTATTTATGTATCGCCCGGTAGAGATGGAATCCCGATCCCTTCGCGTGGTCGTTAACATTGTTTGCCCCTGGAAGAGAGCCGTAGGAATGTGAAAAGCTACGCTGCTGGTAAATGGTGAGCAACAACGCTGTAAAGCCGGTCGTGCTCCTTACTGCACTCTCTATTTTCCTCCGTAGTATTTTCGAAGCAAATTGTGTTTCGAATATTTCTAGAAGAATGCGACCCGAAATACGGTAAGTTCTCCCTAATTCGCGCTCGGATTGCGCACAAAAAATGAATAATTTGGGAAGAGGAGATACTACGTACGAGTCCAAAAAGCAAACGCGATGCCGTTGATCTTACGCGATGCACCGAAATGCTCGATACAAACAGAAGATCCAGTTGCGAATCCAGTTTCGTCGGATTTAATCGATTTATAAATATCTTTCGCGGCTCGAATAAAGTCGGCACATTATATCCCGTACATTGGCACGCGCAACGCGTATTTCATTAATTAACTTCTATTAATGTAATATACATTGTGGGTCGTAACCTGCTATTATGAAAAGTCGTTGCTGAATACGAGAACATTTTTCTTTCCCCTGGATCCCGCGCATACATGTATTCATAAACGCGTTAAGGAACCTCGGAGAAAAAGTTCGACGAGCGTTTATATGAAAAAAGAATATTTTAGGGATTCGATGTGTTAAATTTCCGTGCTACGCGCATACATGGATCTATCGTACGGTATGTATGGGTACTGGGTATCAAGTTTCGTTGTCCCTGCATTTACGAGAACGTTAAATGAGAAACGATGTTTATAAATGTTCGAGAAAGGGTGTATCGATTGATTTGCGAGAGGTTGGATCGGCTCGGTCGATTCACTACACCGTGCTTTGCTGTTCGCACAGTTCGGAGTTCGGAGTTCGGAGTTCGGAGTTCGGTGTTGGCTTTGGCTGTTCGCGATGTTCGCACTCGCACTCGCAGCCCGCGTACCGCTGTTCGCTGTTTGCGCACCGTTCTTCGCGCACCACGGAGCATCATCCCGACGCGATACGAAGCGACACGAAGCGACGCGACGGGCCCGAGGAGTATCGAAGGACAGTAGCACATCCGGCCGTACGCGAGATCGTGCGCCTTCGGAAGGCGTCGTGGATTTTCGTGGATCGCCTGGGGGCCCTACGAGCGTAACGCCGGTAGCCACTACGCCAAAAGGGTCGCATGGCGCGAGAAGAGAAAAAAGAGAGATAAAAGGACAGAAGGAGAGAAAAACAGAATGAAAGAATCGGGCGAGGACGAAAGATCCAGCAGCCGAGGTCGGAGAAGGAGAGGACAGAGGCTCGGTAGAACTGGCATCTTTTCTTCAAGATGCATTCAGACTCGGGACAAGAATCTGTGAGCCTCGGAGATCGGATCAATACCCTCGCGCACTCTTAACATTCTATCCTTGATGAGAAAGTTTCCCTGCTATTCGAAACATTCGAATGTTAACGAAAACAACGCGATCGTGTTATCGGGCAGCATCCGACGCATAGGGCAAGGGTCCCCCTTACCGACACGTTGGGCATCATTTTTCGTTCGTCTATACAAGGTGCCCCGTTCGAAGCAACGCGCACGATTATCTTCTAGACAATAGTTTTAAACGAATCTAACTCTGTTTCGAGGGGGGTACTCTCTAACGGCGGGGAGCACCCTGAAATCGCGTCGACCCAGCACCGGATATGCCCCCCTCGAAACAGAATAAGATCGATTCGAAACATTTTTTGAAACGAACTATAGTTTCAAGCGGGGCACGGAATTAAGTGCCGGCAGTGCCGCGAATTATAATAGGCGAATCGCGTAAGAAAGAGTCGGAATAAGTGGGCCGCGCCGACTCGAGGGGGATGCACGGGGTTCCCAGGGGATCCAGGGTGTTCCACAGGATCCATGGGATTCGCGGGATCCACGGAATCCACGAGCTTCGGGTGATTTCGACGGGGGGAAATGGGAGGAAACGGGGGGATGATGGGTGTAGAGGGGCGGGAAGAAGGTTCGAACGGACGCGAACGTGGACGGGAGACATTCCAATCGTCCGTGGCAAGCTTGCCTACTTTGCTTCGCTCGCCTGTCCGCTTAACTCTTTCGTCAAGATATCGTCGTACCAAAGTTGACAAATTTTTCGTCGATTTGTTCGTAACGAAGTTGTGCCCCGATACCTGGATTTCCGTTATTCGCGGCTTCTCGAAACGCGAGCGATTTTTCTTCCCCAAAGAAATATTATTATTATTTTTAAGTTTTCCAATACGGTGTATCGAAACGTGCGTACGCGTTGCGCGTGGTTCGCGGCTCGCTGCTGCAACGCGAACCCTTTCCGAGATATTCCACCGTTTATGCTTGAACGGGACACCCTATATACATAGAACTGTCGCGTCGCCCATCGCCGGTTCGTACGATTTACATTAATAGTGTGTCGATTTCTATTTGCAGAGAGTCACGATATTTCTCGTTTCATTTCACACAGGTTACCGTAGTCGAGAATGATTAGGGCTGATCGATGGCGGGACATGTACGAAAGGTAAGCCGTAACCTAATTAATTTTCATTGCCATGCTTTCGCATGCTTTCTACGTGTACGTATCGAATAAGATTTTTGTGAAAATCTGGTAAACTTCTAGCTAGATTTCCGCGAAAGGCTCTCGAAGGTACGAACGTAACTTATGATTTAAAGTATCAGGATCTGCAACTTCCACCGGCGGTGTCATAATCGGTTTTGTATCTGTCCGCCTGAGTCGACAAGCGGTACGAGAGCTGAGTGAGCAAAAATAAATGGCAATTAAAATTCCACTCGCGTCTCAGTGCCCTGTAGAGAGACGTGAAGCGTTGTAGAAACGAAAGAAAAGGAGCGGAACAGAACGAAACGGGAGGAAGCGAGAGGAAGCCCGAGTGCGGGGAGGATGAAGCGAGATCAAGCGTTAGCGAGCGAGAGGAAGCGAGAGAGGGACGTAGAAAGGAACAAAAATTCTAGAAACCTGGTAAACAGAGGAGGACAATGCGACTGTTCGCGGATGCGTGTGCAGGCTGCGGGGTGCACGGACCCGGGTGCACTTCGAATTACACGATTTTCGATATTGCTTCGAATATTTCGTGATTTTTTTGCAGAAAATATTACGCATGTATAAAATAATCGTTCGACGTTAAACGTTCTTTACGATCGAAGGTTAATTTTCGTCTTCGCGAATTCGTTTCTAGACTTTCGAAATTCCTCAACGTTACGTCATTATTTCGTCGTCCGTGCTCATCGGTCAGATTGTCGAACATTCAAGAAAACAGACACAGAGGTCCGATTGTCCATTGTGAAAACCGTGAATCTCATTCTTTTTCGAAGATCTTGTGTATTCGTGTTAATTTACTTGTTTACCTGTCTTCGTACGAAAACAATAACAGCCTTTAAACATATGTATACGAAACGAACAATGAGAATCGTCGAACTATTGCGTCAGATGAAAATAAGAACGGTTTTTCACTGGTATGCGGAGCGTACCAAATACATGGTACGTATGTTCCAATTTAGCTGGAAAATATCGAAGCATTTTTACACATAATTAATTTACGTTTAGTTTTATGATACGATTAGCTTACGATTAGCTTACTCGGGGCAAGGGAAAGATTCTCCTCAATCTATAAAGCGATGCAGAACGATAGTCCGAACGATAGCTCTAATAAACAAATCGGTGGATGAATTTTGTGAGCTGTCGACGGTTACAGAAATTGGACAATGTTGAGGAACAGTGGAAATAAGATCAATAACATTTCTTACGATTGCTTCTTATCCGATCATATTAATTCACGCGTATGTAGGTACAGTATCTTTCTGAACATTGCTCGACGTTTCATTCGATATACGGTGTTATTATCGATATGTCGTTCAAAGTCTATACACTATACATATATATGTACGCGTACGTGTACTCGAGGAATCAAAAATAAATTCAACATAACCGCGGAATATACAAACAAATCGGGTTCGATGAAGATTCGATCGTAAACCATAGTCCGCGTTGAACGCAACTGCCAAAAAGTACCGACTGACAGAAATTCTCGAAAGAAAACACAACTTCGAAAATATCTGTTCATAGCGATAAATCATGCGAGATTTAAAACGTCTATTTGGACTGCTTAGATCGGCAAATATACAGCGTGTGTTCGCTTTATCTCGAAATCTGGAATATCTCGGAAACTACGAAAGATAGGAAGAAAAAATATTTTAACAGAAGCGGTTACAAGCGGATACAAAGGGTTGGGTCTCGTTGGCGAAAAAGTGACGGATATTTCAAGGTCGCGTTGTCGTTTTAAACAGAACGCTGCATTTTTGTATACGCTGGATCACGGTGCAATTTATTTTTGCGAATACAATGAGACGCGATCGAAGTCGTTTCCGTCGACGGAACAGTGGAAAATTATATGCCGCGCACCTCTGATCGGTTTACACCCTGCGTGATCGACGATCGTGACCGCGAATTTGTATTTATAACGATGGGGGACGCGTTGGAGGAACACGATGATTAATTTCAAAGTGCACGCACGGGTAATTACGAACAGATGTAAATTATTTCATCCGTTATCGAAAGATATCGAAAGGTTTACAAACACGGAGGCAATCGCTGATCGCGCAGAGTGTAACTAGAGGCGTGTGCGGCACACGATGGCTCGATTAAACGACGATTTTCCACGTATCTGTTGACAAAAATGACTTCGACTGCACTTTATTGGAATCGTATTAAATTGTGCCATGATACAGCGTATACAAAAATACAGCATTCTATTTAAAAACAGCCAACACGATCTTGAAATATCCGCCATTTTTCGCGAAAAAGAAAATTTATTATACCTCCCTATGCTCCCTTCTGTATCGAACAATTTTTACTAGATGATTTTTCACCGTCTTTCGTAGCTTCCGAGATAACAGAAAAATTGAGCAACGAATCAACGGAAAAACAGGGTTGTTTGGAAGGTTCGTGCTGCAGCCAGAGCCACGGACCACATGTTTCCGGAACACTGCGTTGCCGCCTAATTCAAAATGTTGGATTCTCTCTTTTAGATTTGTTTAAACGCGTACCGCGTATATTCCGCGTTTTTGCACAGACGGATTAAATGGGCGCTTGTTGTCTATAGAAGCGTGCATCGTTGCGTCTCGTTGCTCGATGCTCCTTATCGCTTCCACAGATCGCGTCGGTGCAAAAAATTTTTAAATATATTAATTAATCGAAGCAGCGCGTCTTTGGTATATCATTCGCGGGGCACGATCCGTTAACTCGTCGGAAAATATCTGTGTTGACGTTTTTATTCGTACGCGTTTGCTTCACGACTTCGAACTTGGCAGTGAGGCAGCCCGGAAGATTTGTACCACATTCCACGGTGATTGCATAAATTGAACGCAGTGCACAAAAGTGGTTCAACGAATTCAGTATGGGCAGTTAGAGGCTCGGGCATGGGCCGCGAATCGATAATAGGAAATACACCGATCGTGTATTGTAATATACTATTTCAAAATAACAACCGCGATATCGAGAACGAGCGCGACATACGCTGTGTAAGAAATTGTTCGCATTTTTAATGGAATTCTAATTAAACGCAGACGATTTCTCCGACACCGTACATAAAAGGAATTTTTTCCACGCTTTGGGGATTTTCGGCATAACCGTGTTCGAATCAATTGCAAACACGAATTTGTTATAAATGTCACCTAACGCGACGTTTTACGTAATTTCGCAAACGTCGAGTTATTTCAAGCGCGTTACTCGTATAGAAAACTAAAAAGCTAAACGACCATCGAGCGGGTCAAGCAGGAAATATTTATTCGATCGATATGCGACGAGTTCTCGATCGTACCTTATGTACATAGCTTCTCTTTACAATAGGTACATACTCGAGTAGCATCGCATATTTCGTAACTATCCGTACTGGATCGTGCTAAATTATTAAGAACCTCGATTCCATCTAGTATATCGTATTCCTTTTTCCTCGTTGTTGGCAGATGTGTAAAAAAAAAAATGCAAATAGAATGGAGACCGAGACGATAAATAATAAACGCGATACTCTCGTAGCAAACGCGCGTTAAGCTTATTTTCATTCGTAATCCTACCTCGATTATATTGGTTAAAGTTACGATAAAAATTATGAAAATCTACTCCTGCTGTTACCCGACCGAGCTTAAGATAATCCTTCGATAAATTAAACGACAATTAATTATAGCTTCGGTAGTTGTAAATGCCTCGATAGAGAACCGTTTAGGAAGAACCGGACAGAGGCAAAAGTATTTATAAAGCGAGGGCCAATTAAAAGCTAGTTACCGCGCGTATCTTCTTACCCAAATTTCTCTCCGGCGTTTTTTGTTTCTCTGTGTTTAATGTCCGACATTTGTTATTAACGGTGGTGGGAAACCGAAGACGATAGAACTTCTTCCGATGACTCTTTACGTTCTTACGTTCTTACGTTTTTACGCGATTATCTTTTGCTATATACTTAAGTTATGAAATCATGAACACCCGGCGTTTTTGTTAAGCCTTGATTTTAATTACGAACTTTAATGGAGTTCATCGTAATAGCCTGTCTACAGACAGTATGCGTAAATCGTGACTCGCCCGAACAGGAACCTACTGGGAAAAAGATGTTATTTTCACAATAATTTCTTTTCCGGCAACCAACGGTATTACCTACAATTTAGTCTCGCGCGAAACGACTTAATGAATCATTCGCGAAACGAGAAATTCGATAATTAAAATAAAACCGATAGAAACGAAATAGAAACTCGCCGATATATTTGAAACTTACTAAAGAATCACTAACTGGAAGACACCGCGTTGCCGGCAGCCGAGCGGAAGTAAAATACTGCTGCCGACAAAAAGTTATGCTACCGCTATCGCTATTAGAATCTATTGTAATCGTAACTTCGCGTTCTCATAAAAACTGACGACAAACAAATTCTCCGTCGCCCGGGAATAATGTCGCAGGAGCGGAGGAGCGTTTATACCCGCGTGCAGAATGACCGCCTATTAGGGATTCCTATTAACACGATATTTAACGATACACAAGACGAATCTGACTCGGCTAGACAATAGCCCTGTCCCAGAAAAGGTTAATAGCTCGGCGACTCGTGTATCTATTATTCTATGTATAATATGATTGTCTTCCCGTGGGGGCATGTCTTCTCGATACAACAGTGTGTACCTATAGAATGTTACATAATTTTACATAATTCTACATAATTTTACATAATTTTACGAGGACGAGGTATCTTTCGCTCGGGTTAACGTCTGTTTCAGTCGACGTATTCGGATTTTCTTTCGATTAGAAATCGGACGTGCGCGAGAGTTCTTCGTCGAATTGGTTCTATTATCGTACGATCGATATTGCTATCGGCGATCCCTTACGAAAGACAACGTGTGCGATTAATAATGAATTACGAAGAGACTCACCTCGAGTACATCTTGTGCGGTCTGGAGATATTCGCGAAGCATGGCCTCCTGAATAGCGCGCCATTCTTGTCTTGGATCTTCGAGTTGCGTGGTCTCTGAAACACAAAATTCGTCCGAAAACAATAATGCGATGATTTCTATGGCCGTAGTAAACGGTAACTCGAGCTATCGATTCGCATGTCTATAAATTATTTGTCTCGCAATGTATTCGTGTACCTACTGTGTCCGTGTGCAGAATACTGTGCCTATTTAATTGTTCTACGTACGCGTAATAATACGCGAATGCGTGCAATAATCGAATTATGCCCTCTGGTTGCTCTCGATGCTTCGCAATATACGTATCGTTCGACGTACAGTACGGCACGACGTTTAATGGACGAAAAATAAACGTGCAATAAAGAAGAATTCGTTTCCTGCTATTGTCGTCTCACCATTGTAATTGTAACAGCAACGGATAGCCGAGCTTATTTTAATTAAAATAAGTCGGATTAATTAGCGAGCAGTCTATGTACAATAACGAACGTAATCCGATTATCCGTTCCTGTTTCGAATCGCTTTAATCGGAAAAATCTCAGCTGTCCATTGATGTAGAGGATGTAACAAAATATAAATGTTGCGATTATGTTGGATCTATTTTATTCTCACGATTTAGTGGAAAACAATGCAAGTACGTACTTGTCGGCAAAATCTTTGCACTTTTAATACCAATATATCAGACTTTCTATATTTGCATAATATGGTATGATAAACGATATATTAATATTGCTTACGTACAATTGCGGATACTCTCCTGAAAGGCCGGTACTATTGTATTTATCCGATCCCTTTTTTGTCCTAGACTGCGCATCATTCTCGAATGATATTTTGTCCTCGTGTATCGCGTCACGAATCTCGCGGCTCTTCCAATAACTAGGTGACCCCGGGTTGCTACATTTTTTTTCGCGATCTACGATCGACGCATAGCGCCTACTTTTGCGCGCTTGGCTTGATCATGCAAAACAATGCTATTGTCCCGATCTCCAGCCCTTCGCCCTATCCTTTCCAGCGTACAGTTGGATTCGTAAAATAATAAGCTTGCACGTAGTTACGTATGTATTAATATTAATTATTACAATAAATTTATAATCTACCCTTAACAGTAATTGTCACGACGATCTTAAATTTATCCTTAACAAATGTAATAGCAATGGTATACCGATATTTTGATGCATGAAACAATTTTAATTTTTCCAAACTTATTTTGGCTTATCGATTATTTATATTATCGAGAAGTTATAGAAGATAGAATAGTCATATTTTTACTCTTTTACTTTTCTTAACAATTGTTGCATTCGCAACGTCTGTATAATAATTATCACGATCACTTGGTACATCCAAATTCTGGAAATTGCCAACATATGCTTTCCTTAATGAAGACATCTTCGGTAACGTTTTTAGTGTCTAAGCTAGAGGAAAATTACACACAAAAGGATGTTATAAATTTAAAAGATTACAGACTAAGTTAAATTATTGACTGTGAAAATAAACCTTAAAGCTTAATTTACTGGTACAATCGCTGAAACAATATCTACGTCTAGTCCTTGCACGTGCTATGTTTTGAATACAGCATTTCGTTCAGCATGTGGTACAGCATCACATTTTAATACCCAGTCATTAATTAGCGAAATGTTTCGAACAGACAGATGCACGAGTCGAGTGTTCTACCTTTATTCTTTGTATCCACTGCTCTCGCAAATCTGGATTTTTAGGAGATCTGTAATTAATATAAACCAGGGGACAATAAACGACCGCTAACTATTTCGCGAACGGTTACGAAAGAAATCTTGTACATCGTAAACAATGATAAACGATAAATGTTCGTTTCACTTGTTATCGATTATTCAATATTGTACTATAATATCAAATATTAACAGTAAAAAAAATACTTACTGATAAGAAGATGCATTCGTAGCAGTCCAGTATTTTTCTTTACAATTTTGAATATAGCACATTTGCACCATCTTGAATCACTTATAATTAAAATTCACTTTATAACCAATTACGGATGATTGTAACAAATTTTTTTTGTCAATCCTTTTTTCTCCGGAGTTATCAAGGTCACCTTCGGTTTTTTATCGGTTGACCTACAGTGTTTTTTGTACCTATCCTTTAGGGGATGCTGTGACGAATTCGGCTAGCATCACACATATAATGTTTTCCGAATCTAGAAAAGAAAAATTGTAAATTTACCTATAAAAAAACCTTGATAACTCCAGAAAAAAGGTTAGCAAAAAGTTTGGTACAATCATCTTAAAGCTCTCCTTAAACCACCCGTTTCGACTCCCACTTCACTGCACGGTGCAAATCAGCGTTGACAGGCAGAATACAAAAAGCTGGGGAGCATCGCGAGTTGACTCGTACTTGCTCCTATTTGTATTCTGCCTGTCAACATTGGCGCGAATCAACGGGGGCCGCCGCGTCGCGTTACTCACCCCCGTTTCTCCGGCTTCAAATCTAGCTTATTTTTCTGGCTACCATTGAAATCTTTTTTACGGACGTTACAAACGAAACGACCATTGCTGTCTTGATCTATACATTTAACGCATCTTTTCAAGCACATATGATACCAAATTTTCATCGACCGACTCTTCGCAAACGATACGTTTCCGAGTATATCTTCGAGATCGAGCTTCTCTCTGCTCGAGTAATTTTGTTCCAATTGTTTCAACAGATGGCCTGAGACGCCCGATACCGTCGACTGTCACCGGATCTGCTTAGTCTCGCTCATTCATCCTTCGGGCCACGTGCATCCTAGGACCCTATCGTAAATCTATCAAAGACCCTGGTTTGGTCATCCTTTCCGAATTCTTCCTCTCTCTCTAAAAATGCGTTGCCGCTAACACGGCCAATCCGACCTGCATCGCGCTCTCGGAAAGCATCCCATCGCACAATAGTCATTCATAAAATCAAAGGAACAATTGAACCACTCGGTCATTCCTGTCTCCAAACAGTACACGTCGACGCGTGTAAACCGAACATCAAATTATTCACGCAAACAGAATCATACAGAACATTAGGCATATTGTTCCACGTACAGAACGTTACATTCACACTCCGGTTCTTCTGCATTCCAGAATATTCGCGCGAAGCCGAGTCCATCGACCTTTCGGCTTTTGTTATTTTAGAACAATTCTGTCAGCGGCGATCATTTCCAACAAAGACAGCCATCGAGGCTTCGTTTCTTACGAACATCTCGGGCTTCGCCGCTAAAATAGTCCAACACACCGGTGTGCCCTATAAACGCTATCGCCAAAAATAATCGAACGGGACAGCCAGTGATCTCATCTCGGAGAGTGTCTCAGGTGTCACCTCGCGTTCAACCTGCTGTAGCTATCACCGGACACAAGCAACAGAGATAACGAAAGACCCAGTCTCACCCAGTGTCGCGTTACACATGCCAGGTTGAAGTTATCGCCAAAACACATGTTCATTAGAACACGATCTTATAACAGGCAATAAAAGTTGTCAGAATTGTAATGTTAGTCCGGCGAACGCTCCACGCCACTGTGCGGGGCACCCTGCGCAAGCGTCGCCACGTGTAGTGACTTTTTTTCCTGACTGTACTGGTCACCAGGTCTGCTTAGTCTCACTCATTCATCCTTCGGGCCACGTGCAACCCAGGACCCTATCGCGAATCTATCAAAGTTCGATCATCCCCCCCCCCTCTCTCTCTCTCTCGCTCTCTCTCTTTCTAAATGCATTCATCTAATCAAAATCCATATTTCTTGCAAATAAACGGGCTATCATTTTGTCCTAGACCGCAAGTCTTATAGAAGATATCGTATGCATAGGTGGATCTGTTAATTTGCACAGTTAATAGTGTTAAATATACGTAGGACTAAGCATGTGTATTTCCCTATATATTTAAAAAAAGCTAAGGTCGAGCGGTAATAACATATATATGATCGAATAAATATATTTGTAATAATTACCAAATAAATTGGTACTATTGTTTTATGTCACTTATATCAATGCTGTTATTTTTATTTTCGTTAGACCGTTCGGTGCAGAAAAAATAACATTTCAAGTTATTTTATATCGTTATCTAACTTTTCCGATACTTTTTGCGAAAAGATGCCTCGAGAAGAAAGAGACCCGCTCTTGACGAGAAGATCGGACGTTCGTCGTTTGCGCAGAGTTGGCCCCGACGAAAATTCGAAAAGCATAATTGTACTTCGTACATGGAAGTTGTACATACGCCCAATGTACAGATCAAGAAAAGATCGATCATGTTTGTAATTCGCGTTTGTTACTTGTAATGTGCTACACACTTCTGTATGTCGTAAACGTATGGAAACGTAGTCTTGTTATAGCTTATAATAACGTGTAAAAAGGAAAAATAATACGCACGATTAACATGATTAATGTAGTATGCACCCACATGCTTGTCATATGCCTCCTCCCATCCAAGTGGTAGCTCGTTTCCAATGCAGTCCGCGAACGTCTGAGGTTTCGTAAATCTGCAAATGAAGAAATAACCGCTTGAAAATATTTGTCTGTCAATGCGTTTGTGTAAATTCACCGAAAATTGTAACGATATGAGAATAGAGAGTAACATACGATGTCGGTCGTACAGTAATGTCTCCCTAATTGACGCTCGGATTGTCCACAAAGATGGACAATTTGGGAAGAGGAGATACGATTGTTCGAGCCTTGCGGCTCATTTTTATAGTTATTGACAATCGGTAATTATAAAAAACGAGCCGCAAGACTCGAACAGTCGCGTCTCCTCTTCCCAAATTGTCTATTATAGCGCACAATTTGGGCGACAATTAGGGAGACATTACTGTACATGGTATAAAGATAAATGACTCGAAGAGCACTACATCTGTAGGCCTTTAAATTTTGTTAAGCACATCGGTGCATGTACAATTAGCAATCGCATCATTCCTATAAATGGAAATGCATATTTTTTTATTGCCCCAAGAACGATTCCTCTGTTCATTCTACATGTAAAATTATTAGGGTGTCGTGGTAGATCCGGTCCAATAACTTTATTCCATGCAACGTACGTCTGAAATTTGTCCCCTGATTTTTCAACTAGCGAAAAATGTGCAATTGGAGAAATAATCGCGTGTACCGTATACGGTTAAACCGAACCTGTTGTACAATGTAAACTTTTATACTCTTTCAAGTACCGATTCGCTATTAGTAAATACACGCAACAATAAGACTGTACCTTCTGCATGTATAGAAAGTAACGTTATCGCGGTGAAAGTGAAGTGGAATTAGTAGTCGTCGAAGAAGAATGCTAATATCATCGAACATGCTGCATAAAACATAACGAAGAATATCAACCACTATTTCGCTGGATCGCTTTTACAGCCTTTTACGGCTCTTAAAAGTTTTCTACTCTATCCAGTAGTGTACTTGTGATCCGGGGGAGGATCCCTACAAGTTCCTCCATGCCATCTTCTCATGGACGGATAACGCATATATTTATTAACGCTCTTCCGCTTCTCACGGCTTCCGGCCAATTCGGTGTCTATCTAACCGACGTGTGGCGATCAATGAATGGCGTTGCAAAGGGGTAAATCAGACCCACGNTAGCTTATAATAACGTGTAAAAAGGAAAAATAATACGCACGATTAACATGATTAATGTAGTATGCACCCACATGCTTGTCATATGCCTCCTCCCATCCAAGTGGTAGCTCGTTTCCAATGCAGTCCGCGAACGTCTGAGGTTTCGTAAATCTGCAAATGAAGAAATAACCGCTTGAAAATATTTGTCTGTCAATGCGTTTGTGTAAATTCACCGAAAATTGTAACGATATGAGAATAGAGAGTAACATACGATGTCGGTCGTACAGTAATGTCTCCCTAATTGACGCTCGGATTGTCCACAAAGATGGACAATTTGGGAAGAGGAGATACGATTGTTCGAGCCTTGCGGCTCATTTTTATAGTTATTGACAATCGGTAATTATAAAAAACGAGCCGCAAGACTCGAACAGTCGCGTCTCCTCTTCCCAAATTGTCTATTATAGCGCACAATTTGGGCGACAATTAGGGAGACATTACTGTACATGGTATAAAGATAAATGACTCGAAGAGCACTACATCTGTAGGCCTTTAAATTTTGTTAAGCACATCGGTGCATGTACAATTAGCAATCGCATCATTCCTATAAATGGAAATGCATATTTTTTTATTGCCCCAAGAACGATTCCTCTGTTCATTCTACATGTAAAATTATTAGGGTGTCGTGGTAGATCCGGTCCAATAACTTTATTCCATGCAACGTACGTCTGAAATTTGTCCCCTGATTTTTCAACTAGCGAAAAATGTGCAATTGGAGAAATAATCGCGTGTACCGTATACGGTTAAACCGAACCTGTTGTACAATGTAAACTTTTATACTCTTTCAAGTACCGATTCGCTATTAGTAAATACACGCAACAATAAGACTGTACCTTCTGCATGTATAGAAAGTAACGTTATCGCGGTGAAAGTGAAGTGGAATTAGTAGTCGTCGAAGAAGAATGCTAATATCATCGAACATGCTGCATAAAACATAACGAAGAATATCAACCACTATTTCGCTGGATCGCTTTTACAGCCTTTTACGGCTCTTAAAAGTTTTCTACTCTATCCAGTAGTGTACTTGTGATCCGGGGGAGGATCCCTACAAGTTCCTCCATGCCATCTTCTCATGGACGGATAACGCATATATTTATTAACGCTCTTCCGCTTCTCACGGCTTCCGGCCAATTCGGTGTCTATCTAACCGACGTGTGGCGATCAATGAATGGCGTTGCAAAGGGGTAAATCAGACCCACGGATCAGGCGACACAGGCTGCTCCTAAATGTGAACTTACTGAAAAATCTTTCCTATAAAACGAGCCGATTCACCCCAAACGAGTTGCAGAGCTCTCTCCTGTTTCGATCTTAAAACATTAGGAACGATCGGTCTCGCTCGATGATCGAACCATCCCGGACTTACCCTACATAGGAGATACGAGATACGAGACACGAGACGCGAGACACGAGACACGAGACACGAGACACGAGACACGAGACACGAGATACCAGTATTTGTTAGCAAGTGACAGATGTAAAACTTAATGTTGTATCTAACTAAAGTGTCGCAGCGACCGCGGTTGGATCAACGAGGTCGAGGTGAACTCACGTGACCGATCCATGTTGGGCCGTGTAGGTGCTTAACCGGATAGTAGGAAATCGCGAGAACTAAGTATGATCGGTATGAATTGGAGAGTGGTAGGAGAAACCGAGAATGCCCCTACCCTTTGGAGTCCGGAGTAGAGTTTTATCATGCTAACGCATTCGTGTACACGTATACGTATACAATACGGTAGTATCGCATTCGTGAAACTTGCGGCCGATACACGCTGCGTGCACGATAGAAGATTTTCAAAAATTCTAAAACAGAGGGGGTCATTTTCTGTACGTAAAAGTGTTCCGGTTAGAGACCGCTCGGTGCCCCTCGGTCTCGTGCTCTAGCGGCACTTTTTCGCCTAATTTCTGCGGACATTTTTCAATTTATTTTAAAAACCAACTATGCAAGAGAGAACCTAATTACTCGGTTCCCAAAAATACAAACGAAAGAGTTTTGCAAGAGACCACGCGTCACGTAACGTCACATCACGACACGTCAAATCACGTCACGTCACGTCGGCAGTGGTATTCACTGCTGGCGCGATGGTCATTGTATTATTATCTCGGGTCTCAGTCTCGAGCCGCACGCGCTCGCACTCGGAGTGTTCGGAACACTACTCGCGGCGCGAGCAATTGTGACAGCGTGCTCTACCATTCTATTTTTCATTATAAATTACAATGTTATATTTCTTAACGTACGATAACACGATTGAATTTGTAACTCGAGCATCGCTTGCAAAACTCTATCGTTTGTTTGTACTTTTGGGGGGAAATTCTAGTTTTTTCTTAGGTGCGGACGATAGGTGACCGGGTCTCAAGGTCCGGTCGCAAAAGTTTCGTAGAATTCGTTAGATTAAAAAATGACTTTTTACACGAGCAAGGTAGGGTTGACTTCTCGCGTAGGGTTGACCGATTAAAACTTGATCCTAACGAGGAGTGGACGCGGACTTAGTTGGTGTAAACTAAAGAAACTAAATCGGTCCAACCAGTCCAAACGAACTAAATCGGTGACCCGAAGGCCTTGCACCCTCCTCGTAAGTCTAAAACTATAACTAAAACTTAAAAGTTAACTTAACTACGCGTAAATTATAAGTTTATACTTATCGATTATTTATATTATCGAAGTTATAGAAAATAAAGTAGTAATATTTATATTCTTTTATTTTTCTTAACAATTGTTGCATTAACAACGTCTGTATAATTATCACGATCACTTGGTATATCCAAATTCTGGAAATCGCCAACATATGCTTTCCGCATCCTTATCGAAGACATCTTTTCAGTTTCTAAGCTAGAGGAAAATTACGAAAGATTGTTACAAATTTAAAAGGTTACACAAACTAAGTTCAAGTATTGACTATGAAAATAAACCTTAAAGCTTAATTTTCTGGTACAATCGCTGAAACACTGTCTACATTTAATCCTTGCATGTGCTATGTTTGGATACAACGTTTCGTTCGGCATGTGTTACAGCATTACATTTGAATACTCGGTCATTAATAAGCGAAACGTTTCAAACAGACACATGCACGAGTCGAATGTTCTACCATTATTCTTTGTATCCGCTGCTTCCTCGAATCTGGATTTTTAGGAAATCTGTAATTAATATAAAGCAAGGGACAATAAATGACCGCTAATTATTTCGCGAACGGTTACGAACGAAATCTTGTACATCGTAAACAACGATAAACAATTTTTAATAAACAATTTCATCTGTTATCGGTTATGCGACATTGTATTATAAGATCAAGTATTAACAGCAAAAAGATACTTACCGTTAAGAAGATGCATTTGTAGCAGTCCGGTATTTGTCTTTACAACTTTTGATACACAGTACAACACATTTGCACCATTTTAAATCACTTGTAATCACTTGAATCACTTGTAAGCAAAATTGTATATAACCGATTAGGTTAGATTGGTCCCGAACTCGCGTAAAACTAAATATGCGGTTGCGTCCGCCATGTTGTTTTTTATTTAACAGCTACGTTACGTAGCCGAAGCCATCTAGCAGCAAAAATGTGAAAGTCATAAATTCTACACATATATATATATATATATATATATATATATATATCATGGAAGAAGAATAAAAAAAAATAAGAATATAAAATGTTGAACCCCTTGATAATATTGCATTACGATATCTCTATAAAATGTCTCCCTTACTGACGCTCAGATTGTCCACTAAATTGGATAATTTAGGAAGAGGAGATACGATTATTCGAGCCTTGCGGCTCGTTTTTATAATTGTGGACAATTTATAAGTATAAAAATCGTATCTCCTCTTCCCATATTGTCCATTTTTGTGGTCAATCTGGGCGTCAATTAGAGAGACATTACTGTATTGCGAATATATGTACGCGTGCGTGCATAGTGAAAATTATTAAGTCAATATGAAAACAAGTTCTTTGAGTCAACGTCCACGAAACCAAAGATGCTGTAATTTCGTAACATGGAATTTTGAGACACTTCACACACGTAACTAAGACGGTATTAGAAATACGAGAACGCGTTTGCACGAGTTTAAGTAATGCAGTTGGGTCAAAGCCAGATAGTCGAAGAGGGACACCCGACAACAATTCGTGTACCCACGGGTACAATGCGTGTTTGCCCTCGGATTAAAAACGTATAGAAAAAAGGATGTCTTATGCACAAATTTATATATAAAACTTTTCTTTTTCTCTACGCTTTTAAACCGGGATCACGGAACTGGGACATCTACCCTACCCTACTACATTCAGAAACGAATTTGAATAGCTAACAACAATTTTATGGATTATTTTGTCCGCCATTTGCGATGGAATACCCTACGATGACCACGGCGGGCCCAGAGTCCAATCGGACTCGTACGACGAACACAATTCAGTTTATCTCTCTGCAGTAAAGTCAGGTTGGGCTGACAATGACAACGAGGCTGATAATGGCTCCGAGATCAATTCACGCTTCATCGTAGAAGCAGATAGACCGAAGAACAAAAAGCACCGTTTCACCGGTCCACAACGATTCAATGTCACTGCCACTAACCAGTTCCCTGATAGATACATCGAGCTAGGAGGATTAGTAGGAAAGAACAGTCGACGGCAACCCAGAAACAGAAATTCAACCGTATGCGAATCGCCTTATAGTAGAACGGGTTCTCCAAAACCAAGGTCATTCGCACAATAGACACAATCGTAGATCCAGAGGATAGACTGCCCGCTTTCAAAAACGATAGCAGCAATGCGCAAGGCTACATTCGTATCGCATCGTACGGGACACCATATACGGGGCACCAACCCCGACCTATCGCATATCCAAAATAATGGGGAAACGCGTTTCATTGTACAAGCTAACAGTATTTTAGAGACAATTTTCGACTGTACATGGGCACAACTATTATTACTGTTAGAGTACAAGACTAGGAATGCACTTTCCATTCAAAATCATTTTTCTCATAAATTATACACAAGACCGAACAAATGTTTACAACACGTTCGCGTTCGACACCCGGAAACTAAAGATCTTCCGCATACATTTTTGAAAACAATATTTTTATCAAAAGTATTACGGTCTCATTAATTCTATCGAATGATCGCAACAGTTTGACCTCGCGTAGACGGATCAAGGTCGCGTCAAGGTTACGCCATGATCGACGCGCCTATGCAGTATCGGAGCTGACTACGAGACGTTTCCGAAATACCAGTTGGTAACCCTTTTTCGATGAAAATAGTCACGAGTTACGAGCTTTGGAAGATATCGCTATCTTGGACGCGACCTCGACCCGTCGAGTCAAGGTCGAACGGATTCGACAATTCGATAGAACGTTTTAAATTGCAATACTGGATATAGATCGTCGAGTCTTCCGAGACTTTTGGGGACCCATTTTCAAAGCTCGCTTTGCGGAAAAGGCAGGTTCGCTTTGACGCGACCTTGACCCGTCCACTCAAGGTGAAACGGACCTTTAATACATGCTTGTTGCCATTCGATACGCGATATGTCGGACACCTCGACACTTTTGTCGGGAAATATTTTTTCTTTTCAAAATGTGTTGTTCCCGAACTGATCAACCCTTCGATGACTTCTCGAAGACTCCCCCTACACGTATGACCAGTAAATAAATATATAAATCTAAGTATAGTATATAATAAAATTGAAAATTTGCAAGTGCAGGAGCAATGTGGTTTCAGGACACAGGTTTGAAATTTGATATAAAACACTGTCAACACCTTGGGCATCAAGCGTTTCGTACACTTTCGCAACACTTTCGATCGGTTTGTACCATGGTAAGATCACACGATGAGGATCGCCTATCCCTACTTCTGACGTTTCCATAGACCCTGCGCTCTTTCACCGCATCGATTACAACTACTAACTATCGATTCGCGCTATCTCCCTCGTTTTCTATACGTCTAATTTCCCCTCTTCGTCTCTCGTCGTCGCGCGATCCAATTAGTGTGCGTGACCGTATCGACCAATACAGTGCTCTAATCGAAAATACGTATAGGACTAGGGGAGGTTACGCTCCGTCTCTGACCAATCGGACCCGCATTCTTACCATACGTCACCGCATTCTCGCCAGGGCTCATCTTGTGATCTCCCCACGGTTGATTCGAAGGTGATAACAAAAGCACGAAGCGAGAATCGAGTAAGCGCGGTAGCAGAACGGCGCGACGCACAGTGGTTCGGGTTGTATGGAGGTGCGGTCTTTATTGCTTCTTTTTTGCTTTTTAAATACCAGGTTTTCTTTGCTTTCTAGCCTTTTATTCGTGTTCGTGCGCGCAGTGCAATTATAACGTATTTACTTAAACTTTTATCGATTATTATTTTTGTTTCATTCTTTTTTCATTTTTTCCAACTGTCGCGTATTAAACGCGACCATTAATTAACAAACAACCCTCGTTTAAGCTCGTTAAATAAACAACTAGTTAACGTCCGAATTTTCCTTAGTAGGGAATGTGATAAGTTAATAGGTTCTATCAAACACAACTGCAAGTTACCGCACCTAATCTTCTTAATTACGCGTTATTAACTATATTGCAATGCATCGCAGAGGAAAAGCATTGTTTTGCTCGAGTGGAATTCCGATGAGTCCTTATTTTTTGGCGATTTACTAAATATTTATAGTAATTATTATCGTAAAACGTACCGTTACAACGAACAAGAATCTTTATTCTGTTATGTTTTCTGCAAACGCAGAAAAAGGCGAATATAACTGTTCGTTGCAATTCGAGGCACAAAAGCTTTTCAGATTATTACAACATATGCCGTTTCTGAGACACGTTAACTCGCAGCTGAAGATAATTGAGCTTTGCCTCATAAACGATCGATATTCCTTAAATTCTTACTTCCTATACAACGTGTATCGTTGCCATAATCGTACAATAATTTGAGATCTGATATTGTTCTACGAGATCGTTTGGATTTTATATTTTTGTCCCGCGTGGCCGCACTGTGCGTCGGGGACAAAAAGGCGAGAAGACGAGAAGACGGCGAAGGAAACAGTAATTCTGTGCAGCATCGTTCACCTTAGATCCAGACGAATGTCTCGAACTGATCTCTACAGCATGTTTGTGCGATGACATTATGTACGACGATAAATCATCCAGTTTCCTATTTAGTTAATTTCAACCGTTACGATGCTACTTTTCGTACATTGCGACACGTTTCCTGCGATGTTTTATGCTGTCCCTGATTTCTAGACTTGCATAGTTATGTGTGGGAAAATGGAAGAATTATCAGCAGAATCAGCAAAACGAGAAGAAATTTCAAGATAAATATCGAGCCTTCGTTGGATACATCGCAATTGTCAGGTTGACGTACAAAAAGACTAACCAAGAGGTGGTCAATACACTGTGTAATATACTGTGCAAAGGAACAAATGATTGCTGTACACTTTTGCGTTCATTAGGAGAATCGCTTCGTGTCCCAACGATTCGAAAGCGAACTATACAAATAATGCTAATGTTGGACGGTGTACTAACTACATTACACACAATAATCATTCGGTCCAGCTCCGCGCAGTCGTCACAATCGCCGTGCTCGTTAGACGTAAGAAACGCGTGGATGAAAAAACATTGTTGCAAAGGAAAGAGGATGAAGGGTGTTTCGAGACATAAAAATTCCTAAAGTGCAATCCATTTTCCCAAAAATGAGCAAGAAACTTATTGAACAAGAGGGCGAGGGTGCGGAGGGGTAGTAGGATGTGTGCGATCGCATGTGTAAAATTTTGATTACGGGTAATTATTAGTTTCGGAAATATTAATACGAGAACTAATAGTATTGTTACGAGCCGAGGGATAAGGCAGTCGTGCGTGACCGAGGATTCGTTCGATCGAGAGGGAGAACGAGTTCGTTAGTTGCGGAGGAGCCGACGTTTGTTTCATCGCCGGGACCCACGAGCGGAGGAAGGTATGGGGAATTGTTGGTTTAGCCTCGTAACTTGTTAAAAATTGTGCAGTTCGAGCGGTAAAAGTGCACCGTGCTGGACTCGATACCAGCAATCGGAACGACGAGAGGACGCGAATTGAACGTACTGAATTAACTCGACATACTGAGACCTAAGTATAGTATATTACCAAAATGAATGAGGACGTTTCGAGTGTTTAAATGCGAAGTGTTTTCGCGGAACCAAAGTCTCGTGCTCTTGGTTGCGGCGCGCTGAGAAATACGGGGGAGATCGGAATTAACGGCCTGATTAATTCATTAACGGACAATTAATTTTTTTAGACTGGATAAAACGCGACCGGAACGAAATACACAAAATCTCGTGCCCCGTCTTCGATACGCTCGTTACAGCGATACAAAATGGATTCAAACGCATGATCTCTCCACTCTTGTTTCCAAGCTGAAGAAAAGTTAGGAAGAATTTACTGCATTACCTTTAGGTTCCCGTGTCGAAGCTGTTTCGATGGTCGGAACGTCTCCGGAAAAGCATTCGTTTAACTGCAACTTCGATCTTGAAAATAAAGAGAACACGCGCGGGCCCAAATCGGACGAACACGACGGATGATCGAGCACTTGATTTCCGGCCAAAAATTGACGAACAACGAGTGACTTGTGAAATGGCGCGTTATCGTGCAGTGTCAAACTGTCTGGAGCTTGATAATCGGGACGGACGCGACGCGAAGAACGATCCGAATCGATGTTCATAGCCGCTTCCAGCGTTTTCAACGAAGCATCGCGCGGTCGTTTGCAGTAAAATTACGTATCTTTTGGATCTTTTCGGATCTTCGAAACTTGCCTTCTCCAACCTTCTCATCGTCCAACCATCGTTGACGCCGCGCGAAAACATTTGATCGGCATAAGCATCGCCATACACTTGCTGCATGAACCGGATGTTTCCGATGCGCTTTTACCAAGTCTCGCGTTAAATTTAATAACCGCTTTTTGTTTCACGATACAATTTCAACCTGGATTAAGGACTTGGTCGACAGGAACGGTCCTCGCTCTGTCATCTATCATCCGATTGGCACGAACTTAGGTGCATTAGACGGACAAACGATCGACCTTCCTAAGGATGCTCATCAGATGTCGCCACTACTTGCCGAGATATGGCGCCAGTCTTAAAAATTAAATGTCTCACCGTGTAGATTTAAGAGTATGTATTTCCCGACGAAGAATAAAACGGTGACCCTTTTATACCGTCAAGATCGGTCCAAATATTGTGGTAAACGTACCAAAAATCTACATCGTGTGTATCATATCGTGTGTAGACGGTAGACAGAAATCAATGCATTGTACGAGAAGTTATTTTTCAACCCCTTGTCTTATCATATTCTTCACGATTACCGTGACTAACATTGATTAATATTGATACCGAAAAGGTTGTTAAGATTCGTCGAAGAGCGACAAGGGGTTAATAATCTCGACTAATAAAGACCCGCGGTCAAAATATTATACGTATAGAGGGTCCCTACCCTGACGAAGGAGTCACTGTTTGGAGCAGTAGAAATTTGTTCCCCCAATGCATTAATTGGTTATGAATAGGAAATTTACAGAAAATTAAAGAATACACTTTCACCCTGCCTCTCTAGTTTGTAAATTCAAAAAATTGCTTAGAACAATTCCGATTTAACGTAAATAACACAATTAACGCATACGAATGATCAAGTTTGTAAAACTAGCCGGATTCTGTTGAATCTCATTTTTGCCGGAAGAATCTTAACAACCTTAACAATCTAAAGAGATAAAACAAAAGTTACTAAATTTGAAAATATCGTTATCGCATTTAATATTATCGTTTTCCTTAATAATCGAGCAGGTAATTCTTCCTTGAAACGTTTATCAAAATTTAGCATGCATCTAAAGTTATACCGGTTTGAATTGTCCGTACTAGGAATGCTTGTACGGCATTAACGCATGCCAGGTGCGTAAGCTTGTCAAGCGTTTCCGCCACACAGGCATTAATACATATGTAGTGTGAACAATTCAGATCGGTAGAACTTATGATACGCGTAACGCGTAAAATTTTGTGAAACGTTTTGAGTTCAAGTTACACGGTTCAGTGGTGTGTACAGGTGAAAGTTATATCTATGTGAATACCTAAGCTATGTATGTGTGAGAAATAATTGAAATCATTCCCAGTTTCCGACGCTTGGAATAACATTGAAGTTTCTTGGTCACGTGTTCTAAAAGATCGTCGTACAATAAGATTTGAAAAAAAAAAGAAACATCACAACGTTATCGATATGTAATGTGCAATATGCAAGTTGGCGTACATATTGTATTATATATCGTGAACAACGTGTACAATAACGCGAAACACGTTCAGAGAGATTTCGTACATTTGTGCAATTAGACCTGCAATCTAGATCGACTGTAATTCAGGCGGTGCGATTATGCGAATTCTATCGCAAAAATACCATCGAATTAAAACGATAAGTGGATTAAAAATAGTTTAATATTAACAACGCAGCGTTTAGCTGTATCAACGGCTGCAGTATTTAAAAATTACCTTTATTTTACAATTTTAACCAAGCGTCGAATGGTAACGTTACGTTGCACACTGTATATGGTATGCATAGTAGAAAGAATGGAATTTGACATGGTAGTATACGTGTGCATAGATACGTGATATTTTTTGAGAGAAATTCTCTCTAGAAATATAAAATGGATCTTTCGATATTCTATCGTTCCTGACAATCTAGACATTGTATATGCATGTATACCGATATAGTCGCGACATATTTGTCGAGTGAAGCAGCGAGAAAAATCAGAATTGTCTAAATGCAAAAGTAAAGATACAAGAGGCAAATAATAATTCTGTTTACAGCTCGACCCTGATCACCAGATATCTCGAGTTTTTCACCGACAGCGTAGCGGCCCTGGCGACTGGAATGCGGGCGCGGCGAGTCCTCGCTGTATGAATATACACGTACACGTAGTACAACACACACGCGAAAAACCCAAGGGGCGCTCTCACGAGGGTAATCTAATGTCAAAAGTATTTTGCATTTCGACATGTAGGTTCTTTCGCGACTTATACGCACTACTGCAATAACCGGCTCGATACGCGAAAAGCCCGATGCTATGATTTTCAAAGAGTTTCGGCGGTGAACGGAGAAAATTCTCACAGTATGTAGTATGCGCGGGTATACATATTTAGTTGCCGCGTGTACGCGCGTCTCTACGTGTGTATACGGCAAAGGCGAACGTATAAATCTGACATACCTGTCTCTTGGATCGACCCACGTTGTCTTCCTTGTATTGTGATCGATGAAATACACTTTCCCATCAAAGTCTTGCGCGACATCCCACCCGTCCGGAAGCGGTATCTCCCCATTTCGTCTCCTTGGCATATTTCACTGCGCTCTAAATCCATCCAAAATTCTCTATCACCGACCAGTCAACAGAAGCACATATCTATGCGCACAAACACACTTTACCCGCGCCATGTACACACTATATCGATAGAAGAAAAAGAAGGACAGATGCTTTGAGAAAGATAAAGAGGTTGGTTCGACTGGTAAAAGAGAAGGAACGCAGCAGTGATACACACGGACTTACAGTGGAATGGAAATAGAAGGGATGTATTGCACATCACTGATTATACACATGCGCTACACACACGCGGGCACGCCGCGTATGTACATATCGTACGAACGAAAAGCACGTACATATATGCACTCGCACACACTCGCGCACGCATGTATTGTACATGCGTGTACGTGTGTGTGCGTGCGTATACGTACATACGTCTCTCTCTCTCTCTCTCTCTCTCTCTCTCTCTCTCTCTCTCTGCATGTGTGTATATATATACATATATACATACATACCTGCATACATACACGTACATACATTCGTATACACACTCGTGCGTACATTACATACGCTACGTATATATGATATACATATATATATACATACATATGTATGTGTGAGTATATATGTATATCATACATTGTATATATGTATGCATGTAATATGGAATCACACGCACATCACACGCACGCGCGCATACGTACACACAGAACGCGTGCGCGCTACTCCGCCATCATGAATACCTCATTATCATGAGCGGAGTGACGTCAGAGTCCCCGCCTTCAGATTCCTCTCAAGCGGAATTCCACCGTTAACATAGCTGCCCGTTGAAGAAAATTCTACTGTTGATATCTTGCCTTGAGACTGTATCGTGGTCGCACGTTTGTATCAGAGAGCGCGTTTCAATGCCCGTTACATTATCGTAACACTTTCGTTTGAACATATCACCGATCACTTTATATTTTTCAAAAATTATACGAACATCACAGTTTTTACACTGTTTTCCGTACACCGTATAAAAAGAACTGAATTCGTTATAAAACACACTTTCACCCCTCTTGTCGTGTCACTTTTGGTTCACTTCCTTTTACATTCCTGCATTCTGCCTCCGAAAGACAGAATTTAACGTTACGTTCGATCACTTCTTTTTATAGAAACATTTTTTGACTTCGTCCGTTTTTACATATTTCACGTTTTCTCTTTAACATCGGATGCGACGTGCCTTTTGAAAAATATGCCTTTCAGCACCGTGTCAATGTATGTGGATACGTACAGTGTACACAGACAATTCTTGCGAACCCGATTCGTCTGCGCATTTCATTGATTAGTTTTCGGTGTAGTTCCAGTCTGTCTGCAGTTCTTTACATTCCTTTCTTTCACTCTTGTCAGAGGATGTGAATCAGGTCGTATTTGCGATCCGTTCGAAGTTGAAGAAATGCACGCTAATGCCGGTACTGTTCAATACATTTCACCGTGCTCCCTTTTCCTTCTTACATCAAAATTTCCATCGATTGTGCAACAGCCATTACCATTTTTTAAAATATTCGAATTTATCTTGCGTTCCTCTCTCTACACACTACTACTTCACTCCACTTTTACTTAGGTACACAAAATAGGACACTGTTATAGTTATCGCAAGGCACTTTTGCTTGTTCGTAAATTCAAGTGAATATGACTTAACAGAAACCGCACGCTATGTCAAGACCGTTGGTTAAAGTGCCAAGAATACGTACAAACTACTCTGTCGTTTCGACGATACTACAACCTCGCGCCAACTACAAGCATTTTGAGTGTTNCTCTGCATGTGTGTATATATATACATATATACATACATACCTGCATACATACACGTACATACATTCGTATACACACTCGTGCGTACATTACATACGCTACGTATATATGATATACATATATATATACATACATATGTATGTGTGAGTATATATGTATATCATACATTGTATATATGTATGCATGTAATATGGAATCACACGCACATCACACGCACGCGCGCATACGTACACACAGAACGCGTGCGCGCTACTCCGCCATCATGAATACCTCATTATCATGAGCGGAGTGACGTCAGAGTCCCCGCCTTCAGATTCCTCTCAAGCGGAATTCCACCGTTAACATAGCTGCCCGTTGAAGAAAATTCTACTGTTGATATCTTGCCTTGAGACTGTATCGTGGTCGCACGTTTGTATCAGAGAGCGCGTTTCAATGCCCGTTACATTATCGTAACACTTTCGTTTGAACATATCACCGATCACTTTATATTTTTCAAAAATTATACGAACATCACAGTTTTTACACTGTTTTCCGTACACCGTATAAAAAGAACTGAATTCGTTATAAAACACACTTTCACCCCTCTTGTCGTGTCACTTTTGGTTCACTTCCTTTTACATTCCTGCATTCTGCCTCCGAAAGACAGAATTTAACGTTACGTTCGATCACTTCTTTTTATAGAAACATTTTTTGACTTCGTCCGTTTTTACATATTTCACGTTTTCTCTTTAACATCGGATGCGACGTGCCTTTTGAAAAATATGCCTTTCAGCACCGTGTCAATGTATGTGGATACGTACAGTGTACACAGACAATTCTTGCGAACCCGATTCGTCTGCGCATTTCATTGATTAGTTTTCGGTGTAGTTCCAGTCTGTCTGCAGTTCTTTACATTCCTTTCTTTCACTCTTGTCAGAGGATGTGAATCAGGTCGTATTTGCGATCCGTTCGAAGTTGAAGAAATGCACGCTAATGCCGGTACTGTTCAATACATTTCACCGTGCTCCCTTTTCCTTCTTACATCAAAATTTCCATCGATTGTGCAACAGCCATTACCATTTTTTAAAATATTCGAATTTATCTTGCGTTCCTCTCTCTACACACTACTACTTCACTCCACTTTTACTTAGGTACACAAAATAGGACACTGTTATAGTTATCGCAAGGCACTTTTGCTTGTTCGTAAATTCAAGTGAATATGACTTAACAGAAACCGCACGCTATGTCAAGACCGTTGGTTAAAGTGCCAAGAATACGTACAAACTACTCTGTCGTTTCGACGATACTACAACCTCGCGCCAACTACAAGCATTTTGAGTGTTTGAAACATGCCACTGGACGTTCATACTGTGAGCGCTTGGCAATGCTTCTCGCTCACTCTCTCTTCCTCTCCGCCACAACTCGTATAGCGACGAGAACCAAACGTAATCCCCTCTCAGCTTTGTACCCTCCTTCCTCTTTCACACAAACTACCCCTTCCCCTCGGCAATAGCTCTAGTGTCTCTGACCGCTGTGTACGAACAGCGACGGGAACAAACGAACGCGATGCTCTTCCAATAGTTCGCATGCTTTCCGTCATGCTGCACCGATGGCGCCATCGCACAACTTCTAAACGCAGGTGCACTCGAAACGGTTCAACATTTCAGCCGAATAAATGATATAATTGCGATCTGTCGGAATCTTTTGTTAAACTTTCTGAAACTTTCCAGGAATGTAAACGCATACATTTTTCAAATCATTTTTCTTAGAATTGTTCCTTTTTTTTATCTATCCCTTCTTTACTGTTTTTACCATTCTTACTGTTCCGACTGTCCTTGCTGTTCTTACCATATCTGTACTACTCAAACTGAGTCGAGAAATTACATACTTTTTTTTTTTTTGTTAATTTGTATAGTTATTCGATTTTACCGTTCTATCGAAATTACCTTGCAAAATGTTTATCCAACATAAAGCATGTTGCTTTTTATTATAAAACAGTTCGATCTGTCAGTTTTGGGAATTTCAATTAAAGATTACTATTTTCTTTGCACAATATTGTCATTTTACTTTGTATAATTTTCTTCCTACAACGCTGAAGTTTTTTCTTTTAATTCTTTCCCAATTATTTGTCATATTGAAAACGACTATTGTATAGCTTTGCTATCTTTCAGACAAAAAACCAACACGAAGTTTACAGAAAAATTGTCAAGGATCGAAGCTATCTGTTTTGAAAGTCTCGCGAACGTTACATATACATTTCATTGTGCATACGAGAGGTGACGTATGTATGTAGAACTGTACTACGTATGCACAAGTGTTTGCTAGAGGTTATATAATATATGACTCTTTTGCAAAAGATTTTGATTTAAATAATTGTATTAACATCCATTCTTAATGCTGATATTGGAATTTTATGTTTTTGCTAGTTATCTCTCATTTTAATAGTTTTAGAAAAATATTTTGACCGTAACGTGGAATTAACATGGCAACATCTGAAAGCGATGATTTTGAAAGTGCTGACGAAGAAATGAACCATGACATATCTGCAAGAAGAAGTAATCAAACACGAATATGGTCTTCACCGACAACGATAGGTTCGGAATCTGATGACGATACGGAATTTATACCTCGTACACCATACAATTATCAAAATATGGTGTACAGTGAAAAAAGTAAAAAGTGTTCATCAAAGACTGACTCGACGGCAAGTAAAAACACGCCTGATAAAGTCTCATTTAAAGATAATGAAGATGACAGCGGTAAGAATGCATCGAATGACGGGAAAGGAGAACAATTGGAAAATAATGTAAAGAAAACTGACGACGAGCTTACAGATTCCAATCTACAAACAGAGGAATCTGTTGAAAAAACAATAGATTCGAGCACTATGATTTCGACAATTAAAGAAAATGATCAAGGGGATAGTTTGGACGAAATTTCTGCATGCGATAATACTATAAATAATTTTCAAATTAGCGCAAATACTGTAACAACAAATATTCTTACGGAAAACATAATAGCTGAAGACAAGGAAGATTCATCCACAGTATCTCTGGCACAAGACGAATTATCTGAATTAGAAATGCCAGAAGAAATGAAATCGGACAAAAAGTTTAAAGAAGTGTTCAAACCCGAGGGTTGGGAAGGACTTGGAAGTGAAATTGAATTACCCGAGGAATTAACTGAAGAAAAATTGCAACCGATATTAAAGAAATTGTCGTTAGCTGGACAAGAAATGCCAACTTCGTCTAGTGGATGGGGTTGGGATAACTGGGCTGTAAGTTCATTAATAAATACGGCAACAGTTGGAGTTTCTGCGATAACCAGTCATGTATCGCAAGGACTCACACTTTTGGAAGAAACTATTGCTATAACAGAAGAACCTAATATGGATGAAACAAATGACAAGGAAGATTCTGCAGTAGACGGTAATAACTTTTTCATGTAATTCTTGTTATTTATAGGCATATTTTATTGGTTTTACTTCCAGCACTAAAGTAAAATTGCCTACATTAGATTCACCTTGTGATAAAATATTATAGAATCTCATATAATTGTACAAAATCGTTATACAGCAAATGTTATTGTTTGCAAACTTTATGCATTCTTATATTCAATTCTGTATTCAATTTTGTAATTAATATTTATGTTACCGACTTCTAAATGTTTCCAGATCATACAATAGAAGAACAATCTCAACTATATCCTTCTTTTGGTTTTGGGAACCTCTTATCAGGTGTTTCTTCAATAACAAAATTGGTTGAATCAACTGGAAGTAAAGTTATGTCCGGTGGATTAGGCACATTAGAAGCCATTGGTAAAAAGACAATGGAGGTATTGCAAGAAGGTGATCCAGGCTTGAAGAAAAAAAGAGCCATTTTTATAAGTGATGCAAACAAACCAAACTTGTCACAAATCCTTCGAGAAGCTAAAGAAAAAGCAGATACAATTGAAAAAACAATAGAAGAGAAACAAAAAATGCGAAAAGTACATTTCGAAAGCCTATTTGATGATTATCATGGTCTTGTTCATTTAGAAGCACTTGAAATGTTATCGAAACAAAGTAATATTAAAATACAACAGCATTTGTTAGGCTTAAATAGTACTGAATTAACTTCTATCCAAGAGACATTAGAAGATGTTCAAGAATTATGCAATATAGGTGAAGATGATGATGATTGTGAAAAAGAAAATCTAATAAATAATTTAAAATTCAGACTGCAAGAAATATCTAATGATCTTGGAGTTAATATCACGTATGAAAAATTACATAATGTAAGTAATTTCAATATCGGTATACACATATACTGCTTGATCGTGACATTTGAACATAGAATTGTAAATAGAATTTTTTTGTAATCAAAGTTTTACAATATTGGTTCTAGGTATGCGAGGAATCTGAAGCCTATCTTGTATCGCTTCAAGCACATACCGAAGAAGAAATATTTGAAAAATCAGTTTCTATTTTGGCACAGTTCACAGCTTTTTCTGTTGAAAGGTTTCATAAAACTGCAGAATTACTTTTAATCAAGGAACACAGAAGTACAGTTAACGAAGCTGATGCACTAGTTCAATTGACACGTATTCTTTCTACTCAGATTGGAATATTAGCCAATACCTATTGTAACTTCTTGCATACATTATCTAAAATTAAGGAAACACCAGATAGTATTGAGACTAATATAACAACAATTTTTATGGAGGTAAGGAGGTATTTGATATTGTATGCATACGTTAATTAAATGTAAAATGTATGCAAATATAATTCTTTAATTTCTGTTTTGTACAGGCTTCAAATGCAAGTTCATATATTCAAGATGCTTTCAAACTGTTAATTCCCATAGTACAAGTTGGTGCAATTTAATAATTACGGAAGACACTTTTTAATAACATTACAAAAAAAGAGACAAGTTTTTTTTACTAATTTTTCACATTACTTTTTTACGATTCGTTTGCTACAGGGACCAAATAAAAGAGATTTGTACATAAGTATAACACATACCACTGTACATATTCGTAGTGGTCGCATTTTTAGTTAGACGCAAACTTATTTTAGCACAGAAAATTTCAATAATAAAATAATCTTATCTTATGCATATATTGAAATTATAAGATACTTGAGGTGCATACATTAGATGGTTACATCTTGCATATGTATTATATATAAAAAAATGTTTTTGGATATAACATCCATATTAGTAAATTTATTAAGGCTGAATGTAAAAAGAATTAATACGTATTAAATATTCGATATTATTGTTAAACTATAATTATATTCACATTGTTAATAAATTCATGTGCTCATCTGATTTTCCAAATGAATATTTCTACGTGGGTAAGTTGCAAAGCTAACAATAATAATGAGTTGTCTCGACATGAAATACTTTTACCAACTGAAACTGTAATAACAAATATACTTCTCTGAAATTATTCAATTAAAGCAGTATTGTTATGCATTAAGAAATGTTCAAGTTATTAATAAACAATTGGAAGCGTGTAAAATGTTACAATCGACCTCGACTATCGGTAATACAGTCGTTCCCGATCGCACTTTTAAACTTTAATATTATAATCTGTTATTTATAACATGCTTATTAATGCATTCAATACACTATCGGTATTTCTTTAAAACATATGAAATTATCTGTACCGTGTAATAATATCTATAATATATTTCGAGACATTTAACCTGTTACAACCACTGGTGGAGCCTCCCGGCATGAATGCTAGGTGGCCACGGCACGCGAGTAGCTTTCCCGCTGCTAGAACTAGGTTGGTCGCGTATAAGTATGACCAGAATTAGGTAGAATATTTACCTAAACAAAAATTTTGAATAATTAATAAGGGATATTTTATCTTTATTCGTTATTCAACGAATATCGAATAAACAATTTCAATCGATACGAATAATTTATTTGATGAAAATTTATCTGACAAATAAAGATACTTTTCTATTCGATTCCACAAATATGAAGATATAGGTAAATTTAGCATAAAACTTTATAGCGCGTATTATTTCCAGTGAATATATAGAGTGAAAATAACACTTACAATTAGTCAAAAGCAGATAGGTATAGGGAACGTGTTAATTATTTGTGCCAGGAAGGTATTATGTATATGCGTGTATCTATGTATATGTATTAGAAATATTTTATATAAAAAAATAACATAAATCTATATTTGCGGTAAGAGTATTTTATAAAAATAATGTACTTCTAAAAATAGAAGTTTCTAAATAATATCATGTAAATACACTATAAAGAAGTACTCATTATCT